GTAGACTGTAGCACAGTGTAAAAATAATTATCGTTTGGCGCTGGGTTTTAAAAAACATAAAACAGATTCATTTAAAAAGACTACCAAGTTGACTAAAAGGGAAGAACAGAAGGCAAAATGAAGGTCAAGGGGCCCCTCCAAGTCGTACCAGACAGACAACACATAATGAACACCACAATGCTACCAGCATAGAGAGGTAGATGTATTAACCACATGATATTAAATCAAAGTATTTTGAAAATATTCTGCCTTAGAGAAAAAATGACAAATTACACTAACAGTAGTAAGTGCTTTAAATCAGTAACATTAATTTATGGTAAAAAATTCTCGATGTCAATAACTCAGCTATTATCACTACATCAATCAAACACCACATGAGACCACTTTAACACATCACAATAAAGCCAAGCTAAGTGAGATTCAGCTGCCAAAAACACTTGTCTGCCACCTCCTACATCATTTGTTGTTTCACAAACAGGCATGTGTTCTTGCATAACTGTGAGATGTCTAAATGCAAAAGGCCATGCTATGCAGGCAAAATCATTCACTAGGGTCAAAGGCGAGTTTAGCAGCAGCTTCTATTGTCATGCACCTACAGGACCATAACTGCAGAGTCTGCAGAATCTGACACAGCCAGTCCTCCCACTCATCAGGCTCAGTTAGAAAAGTTCAGGATGTGTCGTGATACTTTGAAACAGAATTAGTCTATAGGGAGAACATTCTCCTATTAAACAAGAGGTGTAGTTTCCACAGATCGATTGTTTTCATTGTTTGTTTTATTTTTTTATTAATTGTCTGTACAATATAAAACTGTATAGAAAATTGTTGAAATAATCAAGTTCCCAGAAACCCCAGGTGTCATTTTGAATTTAAAGTTTTAAACAGCCCAAAACTCAAAGATGAATCCAAGAAGACCCAAAACGATATTCAACAATAGAAAAAGAGATGACCAGATTAGAGAAGCTGGAACAGGTGAATGTTTGGAATTATTGCTTGATAAGTATCTGATTAATTGATTATCGACTGCAGTCAATTTCTTGTCAATTAATTAACTGATTAATTGATTTGTTAACTAATCATTTCAGCATATATGAACAGCTTCAACAGCAAATCAAATGTCTTTTTCAGAAATGTCTTATGGTATATCCATGAGAAAATCCGAATAAAGAAAATCTGCATTCATAACAGCTTCTAACAGGCATGACTGCGCAGGAATCCTTCTGTACACAAGGTGCACGGTTTAAGACAATCAAACACTATGGATCACCCAGTTACACACAGGATCCATCCTTTTGGGAGAGGATGTGTCTAATCTGAGAGCAGTGCAGCTTGCCACCCTGCTGAGACTTGAACCCTGGTCTCTGGAGACAGCGGGAGGGTCGTCATCCAAATATTAACAGTGCTGCCATTTGCCAGCGCAAACAGAGAAATAGAGAAACATTGACAACAAAGCATGAATAAATTCACATTAATATCCACTTTAATGTTTTACAGATTTTCTAAAAATGGAGTTTTGATTTTATAATACAGCTCGATAAACTTTTGTTTCTGCTCTCCAGATTCCCCATTAACTCTTTCAGTAACAAGGCAAACTGGAAGCTTACTTTCAAAACTGAAACTTCATTTTATTCAACTCAGTTTGTTAACCTTAACATACATCCGAAGTGGTAGTCAATAGATACAGGCATCTCAGTTCGTGTGCAAATTATGTGGGGGAAAAAAAAGAAATCTGATTACTTTTGGGTCAAACTGATATGTATACGGATATCTTGAGAGGCCTGAAAATGAACACATGGCTTTTAAATACTGCGGGTGTCTTAGAGGTGTCATCATCTGGTAACAATGGCTTACATGTTAACTTACATAGCTACTGTTCACATCATGTGTCCAAAACGAATACGGTGCCCAAGCAGCAGAGGAAAAATTAAAATTCATTATTGAAGACGATAAATTGGTGTGGCATGACCTTAACATTGCCAGGTTTAACAGAAGCAGGAATTTAGATTTGACCTATAGTAGCAAGCTAGATTTGGTTTTGGTCTTGGATGCTTAAATCCACAACTACTAAATATTAATTACAGTGTATTTTCTAAATATCCTGAGGGAATTTTTTTTTTTACTGGGAAATATTTTAATGATCTTGCCTTTGGCACGAACAACACCAGAAACACTAGTGACTTTTCTGCTGATGTCAACAGGGATGGTAGATGGTATATAGAATCATTATCTCCTTGGAGATATGATATATTCTACAGGTCTGTCCCTGACCCATTTTAATGGCCAGCTAAGCTCAGAATTTCAAATACCATGACCTGAGATTTAGTATTTGTGTGTCTGGCCTATTTCCTGCCCACCTAAGCAAGTGTGTGCACACAATGAAATCTGTGTCTGTGCCTTGATTGTGGGAGAATGTCTATGGCTGTGCCCTCTCTCCTTCTCTTGCTCTTTCTCGACCTCCCCCTCACTCTGTCAAGACGGAGCTTTGCATTCGGGCCTGAAGGTAAAGCGAGGTGTCTACTGGAGCATCACTCTAAATCAACAAAAGGGGTGAAACACATTGCAACAAGAAGGAAAATGTCCTTGTTCTTTGTTTCTCCCACTAAACCCTGGACTAAAGTGTGAATGTATTTGCTTGCACAACAAGCTCTACTGCCTTGTATTCATTCAAGAATTTTCAAATAACGAAATTCCATTCCAAGTACAAAGCTGCCAGAGACCAAAACAGAGAAATGGGGGCAAATTGGGACAAAAAAAAAAGTAATTTGAGCTCTGAAAACTCCAAAACACCCTCCTCAAAATGCACATCACAACAGAACACCAGAAGCTGTGTTAAATAGTTCATACATATGAAATAAAATAAAAGACCTTGAGGGGGAAAAAGCAGGAAGATGAAAAAAGCAGGAAAAGCACATGTCATATCACAGGATATTAAAGCCTTTTCTACCTTCCGTCTTCTTTTCACTCTTTTAATAAGAGCCCTTTCTAGTCGCTAACAACACTCCACATCAAGATGCTATGCTGAGTGTGTGCGCCTGTGTGGGCCCTCTAATAGGTGTCTGTGTAATTGGATGGTTGACAGGCAGATCACTAACAGGCATGAGATGAAGAGCTCAGGGGAGGAGGCGTCCATCCTCACTCTCCTTCTGTTGCCATGTCACCATGACAAACACACATCTGTAAGCAAACCAACCAAACCTGTGCACTCTAAGGATGGAGACTTTACTGCCTGAAAACAAAAAGATCAGTGTGTGCACAGTTTTTATCTGGCAGGGTACATCCGTCCCGCATGGATGGATGCTGGCAGTAAGGGTGCTGAGGGGGTTGAAGCTCCCCCTAAAATCAGGCAAACCATCAGTTATTAAAAGAAGTTTATACGTTTGTAATACTGAAACCAGAGATGTGAGGGCACTGATCATCCTGTCAGACAGACCCCTGAAGAGAGTTCAATGCAGTAGCTACAGCTACATTAAGGTAACTGGGTAACTGTAATTACTGCTGTCGTATAGAGTTTCTCTTAGCCCCCCCAGCTGTGACTGACTTCCAGCATCCTGGTGTGTGACACTGAAAACAGCATCTAGCTAGGCTATAGATTCTAGGCTGGGTTAGTTTTGTATTTTTACTCTGAGTACTTATGGTTGAGTTTGTGTTTTGTACCATCTGTATTCGTTGTTGACTTGTCTGTATTTTAAAGGCCCATCCAGGGACAGGCATTGCAAATGAGCTTAAATGCTGTGGTGTGTCACATTAGCTTATGTTACATACTCGTCCCTATACAAATAAACATCTTTGCAATCACTCCTTCATTCATTCATTCTTTTCTTAATTTCTTCAACTTCATGCATCCTCTCACACTACTACCATGAATACTACCATTATTCAGAGAAACTCTGCTTAATTTCCAGGACTTGATGTCCAATGTATAGTATAGTCACAGCACAACATATCCAACACAAACCATATGTTACTTTCTCATTTGTACAAACACCTTAAAGCAATTATTTTTGATAGTCCTTATGGTGAAGAGGAAGAGCAATAGCAGTTGGCAAAAAATAGCCTTAAGTAGTCAGAACCATTCATTTGTAAAGCAAACAAAGTGGCATATTGGAATTACTCTTTCTGTGTGGTCATGCTACTGTGACAGAATCATTGAAAAAAAACTTTTTTCATAAGGAAGGGACATTTCACTGGTCAGAGATGCATGTGTACTAGACAGAGCAAACAATAGATGTGCAGAGCAAATCTGATCTAGCCAAGAACATGGGCTGTCCCAGCGGTTAGAGATCTAATCATGGACAGGCCCAGTGCTGATACACCGTCATCCCTGATGGCTGTTTCTGCACTTCTAATGTACTACATTAAATCTTGACCAGCTCTGGACCTGACCCTGTGCTCTGACATCCTTGTAAGGACAGCAGGTGAAAGGAATGACTTCCCTCTGAGGAATCAATGCTATCATAAAATAATAAATAAATTATAGTAACTGCAAAAGGTATGTATCTTTGACTGCGGAAAGTTTCCAATGTTACCTTGAAGGCAAAGTAATGTAATACTCTTGAGAGAATAATGATATACAGTTTATTCCTGTGCGATGCATCACTTTCTAGCAAACAAGAGTGCCTGAACCAGATAGGGGAAGCTGCAGATGCTGGTCCTGTTTGTTTGTTCTACAAAGCCTCAGCAGATTGATGGGGTATTAGTATAAAGTGGTTAATGTATCATTTTTAAATAAAGTGGCTGACATTCTACATGGTTCAGAAAAAAATTCAATTCAGTACAGTAGTACTGAAGATGACAACCAAAGGATATTTAGGCACCAAAACTAGGTGAGGAGTAGTGCGCTGAAAAGCTATTCTGAACATTTCCCTGCAAGCACGCCAAGACCAGAGCATGGTAATAACTAAATTCTTATCTAAAATATCACAGATTTGTTTGATCAAAGTGAGACCGTGTGTGTGTGTGTGTGTGACAGACAGTGAGTGAAAGATAGACTGTAGTGATACCTTGAGTCCTCCACACTCTGCTGCTGATCCCTGGTCCACTCCAGTGATGTAAATACCCAAAGCGTATTCTGCTCCCCCCCGAATCATCAGACCCAGAGACCGGCCATCATCCAAAACCAAGTTGACCTATTAAGGACAGACAGAGAAACAGATAAAGAAGACAGAAGCAGGGATTCAATTTCTAAAATTTGAACCAGACGCTTCTTCAATATCAACATCTTAAATGACATTTTGCAGTCTGCATTATGTTGCTTGACAGGCTGCCAGATTTTTGCATGTGGTGCTGGGCTGTTCACACTGAAATGGAGATGAAACACAATGCACGGAAGAAATGACAGCCCTGCTCTGAGCCGAGATTTTCCGGCAGAACATAAAGAGTTTCAGGAGCTACTTAGACGTGGTGATTCAAAACCATTAATGAGGAGGCATAATCTGGTCTGATTGGAGGAATGACTCTTTAAATTGGTCGATCGGTTTTTGTACGAGGCTCATCTGTGTCACTCCCCCTGATAAGCAGAGCGGACAATATCTGACACTGTTTGAATTCAAATAATCCATCAACTGGAAATTTTGGATGACTGCAAGATATCTCCGCAATAGCACCCAATTAAACATCCAGCTGCAGGGAGCTAATGATACCTACAGGTTATACACGACTGGGCCAAAATAATTCCAGTTCCTGCATTTGTAAAAATGTCTATTTACCACGTTATTTAATCTTGCACTGTATTTAATCTCGGGGCTAATGATTATTTTCAGAGTTTTCAGAGTTTCAGAGTTCTTTGGTCTATAAAATATCACAAAACCGTGAAAAACCTCAGTGTTTTCCAGAGCCCCAGATTATGTGCTGAAATGACTTGTTTTGTCCACAACCCAAAGGTATTCAGTTTGTTGTCATAGAGGACTACAAACCCCCTAATTATAAACTTTTGTTTAGTTGTTTCATGTTGAATTTATATAACACACATTTGTGTTATTGCGTAAACCATTACAGCAACTTGATTACCTGAAGCCTAAATGGTATTCATTTCTGAAGATGCTGTGGCCAATAAAGCAACTTAGATACAAAGGAAAGCTGGAGAACCAAAGTAAGCACTGCAGTATTTAACTAGTTTGAAAGAAGTTGCAATGGAATCCATCCAGCAAGGTACCTCTAACATTTACATCCACAATGCTTCCCTTCTCTGGAGGACACACAGCCTTGGGTTGAATATTCAGAGGCTCTTTAGGTTCCTGAAATAAATAATAGGCTAATAGTAAAGCACTTTTCAATGTGAATGTTGATTCACGCATAGCAATTTTAGATCATTTGTGTCTATAAACACATTGCTGTCTATTCCTGCTGTGGCCATCAATGCGGGGCTCCATGGGGGTGCACTTAACACCCATTACACACTAGGTAAGTTCAGGATTGTCATGAGATGTCACCTAAGTCTGGTCAGTTTAACAAAGTAACACAAACCATTGCATGTCCACTGTGCATTGGCATTTCTACAGTGAAATGTTGTTCTGTTTCTTTGTTGTCCCAGCATAAATATCCTCTGTATGAATTTAAATGTATTGATATCATATTTCTGACTGTAGGCGGGCACATTTATGTATGCTTGCGCAGGTATACAGTACCCCTCCCACCTCTGAAAAATAGGGCTCACCCGAAAGCTATGGTGTAATTCAAACACTGGGAGGAAGCAATTAGCTGATAATCCATCGATTGGATCTGAACCCACACAGATTAATGACAATGTCCACTCCTACTGTTCTGCATTCTGCACGAATCAGACATAACTTTTCAGAGTGAAGTGTGATGCATTTCACAGTAGAATGGACCTGCCACATCTCACTGAGAGTGAGTCTGACTAGACGAACATTTTTGGACATTTACATTTTTGGGCTCTTCTAGGCTGATTATATATACAGTCAATATGCAGCAACAAGGACCCAACTTAATTTAGTTAAAACCCACTTACATTAATGCATTTTTAGACTGGATTATGTTCTATGATCATACCAGTTTTACCAGCTATAGCTACACTATACTATAGCTATATATTCAGCCACATACAGTATATTCACCTCCCAGCTGCTGTCCAGTGCCTTGAGACTTTGAAAGAGTTATGTGGGGCTATTTGCGGTCTGTTCTGGAGGCCATAGGGTTTTGTCAGATAGAACTGCTTTATTCTAACCCACTGGCAGAGATTCCAGCAGGATAATCTGCACTTCTTTGTTTGGTGCCTCAGGGTCATCTTATCAAGGGTGTCTCTTAATTCTGCACCTATTTGCTTTGGTCCTTGAGCCGTTAGCTTGTATAATATCAGAGCCAACATTACATGGAGATGATCCAAATGTTTACTTAACGTTCCTTCACCACCTGAACTACCACTTTAAATTCATTTCAGGTTCTATTAGAATTTGAACACTTAAAAGTCTCTTTGACTTGAGATTTGACCCTTTCTCAACTGCACAGATAATTGCAGTGAAGCACTGAACAATACTTCATGAAATTAAAAACTTGCATGTGCTTTGTCTATCTTTCACTTGACTAATTGGATGATCAAAATATGCACATTTAGAAAGCAAAGAGACCACATTAAAGTTTACACTGTTCACTGGGAGAGTTTCAGCAGTGACTCAGCTGTGCCAAACTTTAAATTGTACATTTTCCTTTATCACAATGAGGCCCTTGATTACTTAGCTTGATCCTAATGTAGCTGTCTCTGCCAAGACTGAAAATAGGAATCAGTTGTACCCTGGCAACTACAGGATGACAAATATGCAAATATCTATATTAAACAATGTCAGTTTCACCCCTCTTACTTCCCCACTGGTGTAGGTTTGGCATCTGGTACAGAAATCTTACTTTCATTCAGTGCATATGGAGCTCCACTTCTTTTTTAATAACAACTGTCTACTTATTGGAGGTAAGCCAGCCACCTTTGCTCTGTGAGAATATGGAGAACATGCATGTTCTCTGTGACATTTGTGCAGAATATGGTGAATCATTTTTAATTACTGGACTCATCCTTCTTTTATTGGCAGCACAAAGCAGCTCTTAGGGCTCATGGTGTTATCTGGCATGAGCTGTTATTATGGATCACTTCAGGATGCTTTTTCTCTCTAAAAGGAGTCCCAGTGGTCTAGTGTCTCTGTTTTGTAAGCAAAGGAATCTGAGGCAGAATTCACAGAGCCGTTTGGGATAGACAAGTGTATTCAGTCACAGCATGGATTCATGAATTATATTGCACATATTATAATGAGTAAAATTAGCACTGTGCGAGAACATGAGTCACTCCCCCTTGTTAATGTCATGATAGACAAGAGCAACACCTGTAGCCATAGCGACACTAGACCAACGTGGTTGCCTCAGAAAGGGTTTGTAGTACGGCTATACATTCAAAGCTTCTATTGAGGTTTTCTTCAAATGTCGTATTATTTTACGTCATCACCATAAAAATGAATAAACTAGAATTACTGTGCTGCGGTTTTATGCCTCCACCAACCAGTCAAGTTGGGTTTTTTTGTTGTTGTTGTTGAACCATATTAATGATACATATGTATCATTCCAGTGAATATGTATACATCACAAATGTAACTGATTTCTAAAAGGTGGATTCTTGCAGAGTATAGATATACAAAATGACCTTTAACAACCAAATTGTAATCACTTCATACTTGAATCCAAGTGGACATTTGAACTATGTTAAAAGAAATTCCTTCAAGGCGCTCCTGAGATATCACATTCAGAAGCAAGGGACGGATAGATGGACAAAAAGAGAGAGAAGAAGACGATGATGTATCCTGGTTGCTACGTTTTTTTAGTCCTGACCTGTGCAGCATTCGAATGTCGATTTAGAATTTGAATGTTAACGTTATGAATGAAGCTTCCAAGATTCAAACTATTCAGTACATCCCTCGTTTCTAGTAATTAAAACACCAAATGTTTGTCTGACTGTTACTAACTGACATGACAAGTGCTATTATTTTTCACATGCCATCATACGTCACCTACAGCATAGATAAAGTAATAGAATAGCAGCATAAGGTTTGACCATCTGGTACAACATATCAAAGACACCATGTTCTACTTTGTTTAATGCAGCGCACAGCTTTTAATCGCCCTTAAAGCACAAACCTGGAGGCAATTCCAATGAAAATATTCAGATAACATAGATTTTCTCTCAGAGTTAATCTTTGGAAGCACCTAAATATCAGAGATGGATATTAACTTCTTTTTTAAAACAGCCAAACGATCTACAGAACACTGAATTAATATTTTGTAAACGTTATCTGCATGGCACTGACTAGAGCCTGAATTAAAGGGGCTGAGGCAGTTAAGATTAATGTGTGGCTCTTAGCTGCTGAAAAATTGAAAGTTCTAGTGTAATAAATCTTTTAAACAGCTCTGACAAATCCTTCCCTGCAGGTCACGAGGTGGTGACAGGGTGGAGTTTTGTAAGACTGAAGGTCCAATTACTATTATTATTTAAGTTTTTTTATTTATTTTTCAGTGTCCATCATCTCTTGTCCTTTACTGAGTCTTACTATTATGATTTTCTTTTACTCTTCCAGACTGTCACATTGGAACCAGATGATGACGGGATTTGATTACCATTCAAACTAAAACCCTTCACCAGCCACTAAAAGTGGGCATTGCAAATATAATTGAAGCATGATTCTGCAAATGCATGATCGACTTGTTGTCTGAAACAATTTCAGACACTGGTTTTGGTGGGTGGTTTAGTTTAAAATGTAATGTTTCCAGAACAACCTCCATGTTTTCCGTAAGGACTGACGATGGCCCAGTATTAGTTGTGTTTGTCCAGTAAGGCATTTCAACAGTTAATGTTCATGATCAAGCTGATTCATTCATGGCCATGTCAGACCACAGTGACTGACGCAAAAGCTGTGTGAACAACTTGCTTATATGAGCTTGGCGTAATTCAGCTTGTGCTTTTACTTTGAGAGTTCTAGAGAAATTGTTGAGATTATACTTTCAAGCAACATGTTGATCGCAAACAAAAACTGTTAAAAGTGTATAATAGATATAAGGGACAACAAATATTTTTAATAAATTAATGTCATGACCACCTGTAAATAATTTTAAATCATACAGTCCTGGGCACATGCTTTTTACATTTTTTATATTTTACCTTTCCCCCCAGATAGTTTTTTAATTAACAAATGAGATTTGTGTAAAAAAAAAAAAAAAAAAAAAAAGGAAACACTCGAGCTCTTCAGTGTTTTGTTCCCCATGTAAAGCCTCACCTTCTTTTCATCTCCCTCCTGCAGTAGCTGCATGTTGCTGCGTCGCTGGCTGTCAGTTCTTCTCAGGGTGGCACTCCGATGTTCAGGGAGGTCAGGAGGAGGGGACACACTGCGACCCTGAGGGTCAACCCAGGTATAAACATGGTTGGTGACATAGCCACCTGGAATCCGACCGACTGAACGCACAGAGAGACAAAGTTTTTTACTGCCCTTCAGCACCTGAGGAGAGGAGAGGAGAGGAGAGGAGAGGAGACGAGAGGGAATTCAGAACACATTATAAAAACAAGTCAAAATAAAAAAAATAAAACATATACGAGGTCAAAGAGCAAACACTACCAACAAATCCACACTTCAATCAATTTAATTTGATTTTGTAAGACCATAGCAAACACCCACATGAATACATGCATGGTATAGTGTCAGGTTGTAGCAGTGAATATTAAAGTGAGACACACCGCACAATTTGGGAGAAATCTAAAGATTACAGAGAAGAAACCAATTATTGCCATGGTTCTCCACCACCAAATAAACCCCAAATGACCCAAACACCCACACACATACATGCGCACACACACACACGCACACAAACACATTTCTGACATACTTCTGCTTTAAATTGCTGTCGGCTGTGCCTCATTGCCTTCTGATAGCTTGCTGTATGTGCTATCCCTCTGCAGATCAATGTATTCCCATGTGCCTGGTGGTCTGGAGAAATCAGACCAAACAGGGTTGAAGCTCTTAATACTCAAACCAATCCTTGTGCACCACAAACACAAACAGGCCCTCTTCTGTCATTTCAGACTAAAAATGATATGACAGATTATTCTGGGACAATGTTCACACCTCAGTGCTTAAACTTGTCTGAATGGAATGGAAACGACTCTGCTTGAAAAGCTTCCATACAGTTTGCTATCGTCAATGTGTGTAAAAGACTACAGGCATATCATATCAAATCCTTCATCCATGTCAGGGTCATAGTTGCAACTGGGTCTCCTTACCCAGTGATCCCCAGGGATCTTAAAGTAATCACAGGCCAGAAATCTGTCCCAGACTCAAGATGCATATAAGTGAGATGTCACCACGATATTATCAAAACCAGCACACTCCAGACCTCAGTGATGCCTTGGTATCCTGTACATTAGTAACAAGCAAATATGAGGGGTGAACACGTACAGTCTTAGCAAAGTACAATGCCATTTGTGGACATAGTTAAATTTATACCAGAAGTACAAACAGCAGCTCTCACAGTTCAGATATCAGCATCAAAAGGCTGTATTTGCAGTGAATTCTTGTTTTTCCTGTCAAATCACATTAAAAATGCTCTCTTTTTTTATTGTAAGTGATCTGTCATTGCTTGGCATCATTAAAAACAATAAACACATCAGAATTATTTCATCTCTTGATAAACAATTTTTAGGCCATTTCATGTCATTCTCTGATGTGTTACTACGTTTTAGTATTGCCTTTTCTTATTACATTAAACTACCGTCTAATAGTCTGTTCTGCGGAACCTGTGTATAAGGTCAGTCAACATACTTTCTCAAAGTAGCTCTGTGGCCCTTAGGAATCCCAAAAAATAAATGCTGCCACGAAGTACAATGTTACTCCATTGTCCTCTTCAGTGACCACAAATAATGCTAACCCCCCCCATCTTACTTCATTGTGTTGTCTTCTTCCTACAATACTTGCATTGAACTATGACTACTCTGTTGAAATGCCTATTTACATATGCTGCAAGCAACAACTCAAATTATTACTTGTCAGAGGGCTGTGTATTGCCTGTATAGGCCTGTCTCCTTGAGTACAACAATCAAGCTGAATCAATTTCACAATCGTGATTTGTTCTGAGAGATAACTTCTTTCAAATTCTGAGGCAACAAAACCCTGTCAGCACTGAAGATCACTGACTGGACCAAAATGCCTGTCATCACTCCCTCCCTCTTCCAGCTCCTCTTTATAAGCTGAATCAACGGTGAGGTGTAGCTGAAAGTATATCACAGATTCAGCAACACATGAGCAGGCACACTGCTAGTAGCCTTTACTCACAGAGAAGAGAGAGACAAGACTACTACTTGCATACAGAAAGGCACACAAAACCAAAAACAGCAGGAAAACAAAAAGGAAAATTGCCTGTCTGCTTTATTTCATTATTGTGTCAAAATTCTGACAGTGTTGATAACACAGGCTATCTTCTTGATTTGAACAATGCACATCACCAGCACATGACACGACACATTCCTCTGAGCCATCAGACATCAGCAGGGGGTCTTTGGATTTGAAATGTAATCAGGATTGCACCGTTTGCACCGTTGCACATGTTGCAAAAAAGGAAACTGGGGTGATATTTCCTGAAAACAAAATGTGGAAAGTTCAAGGAACATCTTAGAGTACAAAAAGTAAAGCATTAAATATTTTAACAGTTTAGTTGTTGTTGGTGGTGTTACAAGTTCATAGTTTGACTGTGGTCCATCAACACTTGATATTGTGTTAGTACAAAACAGTGTCCTGTAGTACATATTGTAGACTAAGATAAATTTAAAGGAGAATAGTAATTTCTATAGAATAATGATATCACTGCAGAAGAACCTTTAAAATTTAAATTCAAAAGGCTCTAAATGCACGGCAGCATACACAATCTCAAGCAGGTAAATAACTTAAATTATTTAGTGATTGTTTAATCTAAGAACATTGGCTTCTCTATTAGACACTTTGCCAACCAGCTACAGAGCTTCAGTTTTATTTGTAGTTCAAAACAGGCTAATGGTGCATGAGCAGTGTTTAAAGAGAAACTTCACCCATTTGCATTAAGCTTTGTATCATTAGAAACCCAGTCATATTTTTGAATGGTCATGCATCATTCCCTCATTTTCCCCTGAGACGGGAGAATTATGGATTTCAGTGTTGCACTTCCTGCTTCCAATGATGTAAAAAATTTTCCAGGGGGTGGGACCCACTCACGCTACAGACCTATTACAGATCAGTGGGTGGGACTTCACCTGCAGAAACAAAAAGATATAACCGCCATTTGTTTGGAAGCTAAGCGAACAGGCACTGTCGAGCCAGACATTACAGCTATGGCGGAAGGTAGCGGGAAGGTATACAGGAAGTTAGGACAAAAAGACACACATGGAAGAAAAAATATATGGAGGGGAATGCAGCTGATGGAGAGAGGGCAGTGGGTTTAACAGCCTACTTCATCCTGTGAATAAGAAACAGTGGTAATCGACTAAGCAGATGTGATACAGTGGTCCTAATGCGTCGTCCCTGGAGGGAAGTGCTGATTGTGACACTGGGCTGATGCAGCACGGCACTGCTTGCAAGCACAACAAACAGCACTGGGAAAATAATGGAATATATAGCAGAGCATAATGGGAAATGGCAATGGCAGGTAAACTGCTTTCAGGCAATGTCACGGAAAAAAACAATATGCCCTCATGAGGGTCCAGGCAATCCATTTTATACACGAAAGCTGACTGCACAAAGCCCAGCAGAAGCAACCATCCAATTTCATCACTTAGAAATGCATGGTCATATACTGTAGGATGTTTAAAAGGTACCTGATGTCAGTAGAGTATGAAAAGACTTATGAGACATGAGGGATTAAACCATAAACCCTAGTTACGTAAAGAGTCTCAATTAAATAGCCCCAGTGGTACTGCAAACGCTTTTTCAAATAGAGTCACTAAATCTCCAAAGTTGATAGGAATCATTAGATGTTGACATGTGCTAATATGAAGTTAGCCAGTGTGACAGGTTATGTATAAAAAAAACAGACTATGGTCAACACACTGTTTTACTCCTGTTGGATCCGTCTGCAGCTTTTGACACTGTTAATCATAGTATTTTAATTGAACGTCTTAACATCTGTGTGGAAATTTGGAGTTATCAATCGCCTATAGTAACGTTAAAATATGTAGTTCCACAGAGTTTCGTCCTCTGGCCCTTAATATTTTCCATTTCCATGCTAACACTTGTTAATATCATTAAACACGACATCAGTTACTCCCTCTATGCCAATGACACACAATTATACCTCCCCTTGTGGATTGCAGGTATTAATAAGGATAACATCTGATTTTCTACAGTTAAAATCTGATCTTCAATTTATCACAGGTCAAGACTAATCACAGAATTAAATTTCCTCCCATCTTGGTCCCCTCTCATCTAACATTAACTATTGAGGTTGCACCTTGGTATTATATTTGATAAGCACCTAAATTTCAGCTGACATATAAATTCAGTTGTCCAATCTTGTTTTTTCCAGCTGACAAAACTCAGGTTTATTCTTATCTGAAAGTAATTTATGCTTTCATTTCATCACGGTTTGATTACTGCTGCAATGCACCCTTCTCTTGCCTCACACAAAAAAATCTCAATAAACCTTCTGCCAGTAATTTTTGGCCTCTGGTTGCCAAAAATTGGTTGCCAATTTAGCAAAATGGCTGCCAATGATAAGCTGGCAACCATTTCTGTTGAGATGGGCACAGACTTTATCTTAACTTTTACTGTAACCTAAACGCTAATTATCTCAACTGAAATTATTAATTAAATGGGAAAACCAATTTCTGAATCAATTTATTCCTGTATCGACTGAACGCTCAACAAGACGGCATAACATAACAACGGACAAACAGTCCCACAAAATTCACATGAACACACACAGAGTTACCTATCATGGCTGAATGCCGAAGCCAATTGCAGAAGTGCTGGGAGATGCGGCTTCTCTAATGTCCTGTTCACACATATACTCTGACATTGTGGAGACACTCCTCAAAGACTCAAAACGCCTCCAGCAGTGCAACAGGAGAAAGGTCCCACTTGATGTACAGTAAATATCCTCTGACGTGTGAGAGTAACAACTGGGAGACAACTAATCCAGCTTGCTCTGATTCCATCGTTAAATGGAAGCTCAGTTGTTTTCCACTCCTCAACAACACAAAAGAACTAATGGAGGAAAACTTTATAGTTATGGTCAATAGCATCCCAATTTTCTACTATATAACTTTAACGAGCTACTGGGGCTTGAATAATAGAAACAGTGAATGGAAAAACAATGTTCTGGAAAGGAACTACTTCATCATGCCCTGCTATTGAGGCAATGTGCAAAAAACCCTACCCAAATTAAATTAAATTACGTGTTGAATGCAAGCATGCATACTCTTTTAAAATTGGAACTTGATCAAATCCGTATGTGTGAATTAGGTGTAATGGCTACGAGA